TACGTACGTACGTAAGTAAGTAAGTAAGTAAGTAAGTAAGTAAGTAAGTAAGTAAGTAAGTAAGTAAGTAAACTTTATTTGATAAGTAGGTTGAAAGGGGGCTGGCAGCCGAAGGGCTGATGTGGACCTACTATACCCAAAATTTAAAATTTTACAAACACAAAAGATATTAACAAAAGAATAAGAACTATGCACAAGTAAAATTAATATATTATATAATTGTATATAAATGTATATTGTCATTTATATATATAAATATATATACATGACTCAAGAAGCCAGACTAAAGCACCAAAAGTGATGAGCCAGTTGGGCTTAAAACTTAAGTGTAGTATCAGTAAGAAAGAAAGACAGCTACTTAACTCAAATGGCCTTGAACATTTGCATTAACAATAACAATAATTATTATGCTCAGAAACACTACAAACACTGCATGTAAGTCTCACCAACTTAGTTTAGAACTACAGACATTATTTTTAAAATCACCTGTGTATCCATTGATGTGAATGACAACTTTCTCAAAGATCTTAGGGGTATCACTACAAAAAATTGACACATTAACTGACCATTGAAAATAATTAAAAAGCACACTGATCACCACATATTCCCTCGAAAAACACTGATTTCAAATAAAATGATTTACAATGCAAACAATAAAACTTACACATCTTGTGGTGTCTTTGGAATATCCTCTTTAAACTGAGCATCTAGTTTCTGCACCTTTGCTTGCATATACCCACCCTATTAATTTTGAAGAGTACAAACTATCTTAGACTGATATATGAAATTATCATTTGACCATTGTATCTGCATCCACCAAAACTCTTACATAAACAACCCTGGAAAAAATGGGGAACTGAAAACCCCTCTCCTCTAATCCTAGATGACCTAAAGGTGACCCCCTCCTTCCATTTATGTCTGGGGTCTTCAAGGGGCTCCAATCTCATGATCATGTTCAGACCACTCTAAACTTAGATTACCCTAGGATGATCCACTCAAGTCACTTGATTGTCATTTAAGACTTAAGACTGCCACATGTGAGATAATGTGAGCACAGGCAGGTCAGCTGCATGTAATAACTCACAAAATTATACTATTAATTGCAGACAGTGAGGGATGTACTGAGCTTGTAATTGTACATTTTTAATTTGGGCAGTCCCAAGAAGACAGACCTCTTTTTGCTGGCCAGATTATTTTTCTAGCTCAGCATGTAGCTCCCACAGCTCATAAACAATGAAGAGTCAGAGGAGTTTTCCTCGCAAGACCTCAAATATTAATCACAGTCTCAGTCTTGCAAGGCAAAAATCTCACAAAAATTGCCACACAGGAGAGCCTTGCTCAGTTAACTTCCAGTCTCAGATAACAAGGAGGTCAGCTAGATTTTCCTAGTTCCCCCAAACATGATATACCCTCTTGATGTCTAAGACTGGATTTGAAGGGGCTACCCATCCACCAGCAGGGGTATTTTACAGAAGGTCTCATGCAGAATGCAAACATTGGTTGTCTGTCCACCAACTAGTTAAACTACGAGTAGTCCCTCTTTCGCTTAGTCCGTCGTGCGTGACGCAAAAGAAATTCGCGAGAAAAAAATGACCACACGAAATCCTGGGGGGCTAGGAGCACGCGAAAGGAGGGACTACCGCCTAAGCCCAAGAGTTTGCCTTTTCACGGCCGAGTGATTTTTCGGTGTAGGATTTCTCATCTTGACGTCCTCTTATTAT